AGCAGGCTCAACGTGAGTCAGCAGTGTGCCCTGGCAGCCAAAAGGGCAAACTGCACGCTGGGGTGCATCAAACACAGAGTAACCAGCTGGTCAAAAGAGGGGACTGTCCTGCTGCGTTCAGCATTGGTACGGCCTCACCTGGAGCACGGTGTGCAGTTCTGGGCCCCACAATTTAAGAAGCATGTGAAAGCACCTGAATACATCCTGAGGAGGGCAACAAAGCTGGTGAAAGGGCTGGAAGGCATGTCCTGTGAGGAGCAGCTGAGGACTTTGGGAGAAAAAGAGGCTGAGGGACGACCTCATGGCTCTCTCCAGCTTCCTGAGGAGGGGACATGGGGAGGGAGGTGCTGAGCTCTTTACCCTGGTATCCAGAGACAGGACACAGAGTGGTTCAAAGCTGCACCAGGGTGGTTTAGGCTGGACATTAGGAAGCATTTCTTTACAGAGAGGGTCATCAAACCCTGGAACAGGCTTCCTAGAAAGATGGTCGATGCCCTAAGCCTGTCAGTGTTTAAGGGGCTTCTGGACAATGCCCTTAACATGCTTTAACTTTTAAGGCAGCCCTGAAGTGGTCAGGCAGTCGAATCAATGATCATTGTAGGCCCCTTCCAACTATTAACTATTCTATTCCACTTTACAGCTTCAGTCTTAAGATGAATTACTGACTAAACTTTGGAGGCTTTATAGTTTCTGTTATTATTAAATTTCACAGATGGAATACTGTCTTTAAGTCCTGTGTTGCAAATTAAGCCATCCGAATTGTTTCTTTTCACACGACGTGTCCAAATCCTGGAAAGACCCGTCACTAGCATGAAACAAAATGAAATGGTTTAAAATACTTTTCCTGTAATGTCAGCCTTGTAGTGTCTCTGAAAATGCAATTATGCATCCATTTATAGTAGTGTTTATCTGGATTTTACTTTCTTGACCAGACCATTTCAATTCACAGCAATTCAAGCACCAGGGATGCATCAAATCCGTATTTGGTATATTAGTTAGGCACTTGCTTAGACAGGAGAAAATGAGACAATCTTGATAATTTATAATGCCTTCGTTTGTTTTTCACTATCAACAAACTATTTAACCTAATTAAGAAACTGTACTGATGTCTAACTACATTCAAAAGAGCAATAAACTTTTTCAAGTATGTCTTCTACCATTTAATACATATTTCTACCATGGAAGTAAAACCTTTGTGTCTACAAGCTGCAAAAAATACATAGTTGGTTTGAATTGCATGTATTTTTACAATTGTACTGCTCCATATAGTACACTGTAGTATTTAAGATTTTTTTCTTCTGTCACAGTCTTATCAGAAACTGCCAATTTTCCTATTAGAATTATTTTTTCATGTACCTGTGTGTTAAACCAATAAATCGGTCCCTTTTGGGAAAAAAAAAATCCATGTCATTTCAAGTAATTTATAACTGCAGTCTTCTGTTTACCATGGTCCACACTACACATACATGAGTGGGGTAATTCAGTCTTCCCACTCACTATCACTCTGCAGTAAAGGAGTTGGCATATTTGAAACCTCAGTTCAAAAATCATTCGTGATCTTGCTACTGACAGGTGCAGTAACTTTATTAATTAATGCAATTCCATAGTGACATTTTGCAGTTTGATTCTAACCACAAAGATCAAGACTGCAGCCACAAAATAATTCCTAAGTCTCTTTGATGGTTGTCAGACAACATCCATCAATATTCAGTTACACAACATAAAACTTTCAACTTCCAATTGAAACACTCTATCTTCCCAGCAAATCCAGTTACATTTGAGTCTCTACAAAGGTATTATTCTACTCTGAATATATATTGGGTTAAGTTAAATTTTGTCCAAGAATTTTTGTAAAAACATATTTAACCAACAACTTTCACAAAGTATCACTAAAAGCAATTTTAAATTACAAAACTAAAATAATACAGACAAAATACATTAATTATCTAGAGACAAAATAAATCAAATTTTTGCTTCCAGATCTCATCTAACATTGTCCTGAGCACTTGCTCAGATTTAGAAGGATAATTTAGCAAATTAGGGCACAATATTAAAACACAAAAGCCAAACAAGCCTCTCAAAAAAGACTGACAAAGATAGAATTCAGTACTTACCCATCATTAGAACATGTCAAAAATTCTTCCTTTATTTTTGGATGCCAACAGCCTGAATTGAGCATTGCTATGTGACCCTGAGGAAATAAATACGAAGAGGTCTTATGAGGTTTTGTAAGACGTCTTACAAGGTTTAATAAATCATTTTATAAATATTTCAAATCCTTTGAGTGGAATCACATCAAAGCTGAGGGCTAAATCAGGCCTTTTTGGCCACAGCAATGGCTATCTCATATCATAATGATTTAACAGATTTTATGTACTCTAACCCATTTCATCCTTACTTGTTTTCATTTTTGAATTATAAAAACCCTGACATTCTTCTTTCAGAAGATGGCACAGAATCATACTTCCCCTTTTTCTCTTGGGAGAACTGTAATGCAGAGAAAGGATGAAACAACAGGCATCAATATGGTGTCATGCAAATTGTTCCAAGCCACACAAAAATAACGGGAATAACAAGAATTACCAGGGTGACACAATACAGATACTGAGTGCCGAACTGCACTAGCCAAAGACTTTGTTGGAGAAAACTGAGGAAACAGAATTTGAGAGTCAAGATGGGTCGAACCTCGGGTGAGGTGTTTTCATAAAAGATTAGAACTTGCAAATTGAGGAGTAAGTCCTGTTTCTTTAGTGTAGAAAAAAACAGAAGGTAAGGATTTTATCCAAAGTAAGCAACCACCATTATGGTGACTGTGAATATAAAATGTCTTTGTCCAGTTGGCTTTGCTTCTTTGAAGCACAGGCACATGCTTATTGACTACATTCAAAGAGAAATTTGGAAACTACTACTGTAACGCTGGAATTATTTCAGTGTACTTTAAGTACAAATATGGAAAGAAATACTGAGAAGTTAATGGGGCGATGTAACAAATGTTTTAGCATTTTGATTGTTGGACTACAACACACTGGAATTCTAGAAGTTTACAAGAGAAAGAAAATTTGAATTATTTTTAAGTAAACAAGAACTAAAGCAGATGTTACTATCTGATGGTTTTATATACATATCACTAGCCAAAAGAAATAGTCATCTGACAAGAACAGCTTAAGGCAAAACAGCATTTAGTCTAGTTATTTGGCAATATACTTTACAAGCAATTTACAAGCAACAAATAAATCAACTTTATCATCAGTTTGAGCAGTAGATTTTATCATTACTTTTTAGGCTTAAGCTATTTTAAAAATTGACCTGAATTTAAATCATCTATGTAAACAGAATCCTTGTCTCATATAGTTTGTAGAAATACAAAGGCAAAGTGGTCAAAACCTAATCAACTGTTGTCAAAATACTTCAAAACTATGAATCAGCCTTTCTCCATTTGCATTTTTAATCACCATTGAAAATGTAAAAATTGTTGCTTATTAGTCCTACACTCATTGCATGCAACTAACAACAGTAATAACCTCCAACCCATGCCTTGAAAGAGGTAGATTGTATCAGCGAAAGAATGGAGGGTAGAGGAAAGCAAGAGATCAATAGTTTCTCGTATTTTTTGTGGTTGGTTGAACAAGGGTATAGGGGAAAGTTGACAATTTTTACAAGATACAATTTTAAATAGATGGATTTGTTGTAGCATCATAGAAATATTAGTTGGAAGAGATCTCTTGGGTTCACGTAAGTCAACCTCCTGCTTAAAGCCAGATTATAGCCAACACCAGATCAGGTCAGTCATGGCTTTGTCTAGCAGGGTCTTGAAAATCTCCATGGATGAGTGTCCCACAACTTCCACCATGTATCAGAACATTGGACTACTGCATCCCAGAGACAGGGCTTTGCATTCTTCCTTACTGAACTTCATCAGGTTTCTCGTTAACAGCAAAAATACACTGTATTGTAAGTTTTGTGGCATTTAATTAATTTCTGCCCTTACCTTTGTGTTTGTCATATCCACAATGTACTGGTCTCCTTTTATGCATTCCATTACTGGGAAGCCATCTCTGTCAATAACTTTTGCCTGAGAGTTACCAGAGACAACAAGAATGACATCTCCTGTGCTGCTATACTGTAAAGACTTGATTTGGTGACTAAAAAGGAAAAAAAAAAAAAAAAAAGGAAAGAAAATGTTTCAATTAATTCCAGTTCCTGTAAGTGTACACTAAAACAAAAGTATCAATGGCAAGAAAACGTATTGCAGAAACAGACCCACATACATTCCTATACCAAAAAGGTGGGGGAAAAAAATACCTGAGATTAATGGATTAAAACTTTTTATTCCTCTTTCTGTGTGTGCATGTCACATTTCCTTCTCCAACCACACAGCACATTGAACAGTATTATTTACAAAGCTGGCACCTAAAATGTTAAGTTCTGGCAAATATATTTAAATTAAAGAATGCTCTTAAAACTCCAAGTGAAAAATAGTATGGTTCAGATTCAGCTCTTCAGGACCGAAAATCCTTTTCATCTTCTCAAAAGCAAGATGTGGATTTACAGTAACCTATAAATTACTATAAAAGGAGGTAGTAGTCCTACATGAAACTCCACTGTGCATCGTACACCAGGAAATTCATCATATGTCAGCATTCTTGCATCTTTTTCTATGATCAGCGGCTACAGTTTCATCAGAATCTTAGATAAAGTTAAATATACTGTCAACCCTGGAAACATGACAGTAGATAACAATTTGCCTAGTCTATTATGTCTTAGATGATTGCTCATTTGCTCATAAAGGTTTCCTTACATATGTCTTCTATCGATTGAGAAAACCTGGGTCAGAAACAATGGAATAATGCAAAGACAACAAAAATTAACTGAAAGTGGGACGATGGTTGATGAGTGAGAAGTCCATTTCCAGCTCCAGCATATTCTCTCAGCATCTGCTTTAAGAACAAAGTTCGATGCAGTTGCTGTATCTGAAGCAGATGTCTCTGATCCCCTACCTGGCTATACTCCACTACAAGGATGGCAAGGAATGCAAAGCAGGCTATCCACTCCACACCTGTCAGAATTTCTACCCTGGCACATTAACAGAATGTGCACAATAACATTACTTTATATTAATGCTTCAGCTCTGCACCTAAATTAGCCCCAAATTAAGGACTGGAATGCATCCGCCAGCTAGATTTGGTTTCCCATGGCACCGAAACTATCCTCAAAGGAGTGTCTTCCTTTTGGTGAAGAAAATAACCACGTGCATTCAAATCCCACTAGCTTTGAGGAAACTACTTTGTCACACAATTTCACCTCACTAAAATTAACACTCAGATAATCAACAAAACTGACTATGCAACTTGTAACTTAATAATCTAACATTTCACATTTTATATGGTAGTGACTTCATGACTGACTCAGCAGTAGCTATCATCTGTTTAAATCTGTCCTCAAACTGTGAGTTACTACACAAAACACATAAAACATTGTCATACATATTTTAAAAGTCCTGCACTGATCACAGTAATGTAAACTCAGCATAAGTTTCTCATTCAAAAAATGTTTGGCAAAACTGTCTACATTATGATTCAAAAGCCAAAAATTGCTTCAAGCACCCTATTATGTAATACAAACATGCAGCCAAATTGGCCAAAGTATTATAAACTCTGATTTTTAGTAGAAAGAAGACACTCAAATCTGGGAATTTCCAAAATATATCACAGGCGATGTCTGAAAAAGCATCCTGAGCCTCAAGAGCAAAAATGGATACTTGCTCAGAAGAGGAGAATGAAGGCCAGCTGCATTAAACTCAAGGAAACAGTGAAAAAATTAAAAATAAATACCTAAGAGAAACAGTATCTAAAGTCTAGAACATTCTCTGCAGACAGCTGATAAACCTAGACTAAAGAATCCATCGGATTCAGCTTTAGAGCAACAAGCATATCTTAGGAATTAAAAATTTTCCCTTCCGAGCACTCTTGCCGTATCACAGGATTCATACAAAGCTCAAAATATTCCTGAGCCCCACTTGAGCACTGCATTCGGAATGAAGTACTTATCTAGTATTTCTCACGATAATGCTGAAATTGTCAAAAGAAAATACCCAACACATCTCTAAAGCATAGTTTCATGTTTTGCACTTTCCATTGTTGAAATGCAAGAACTAAAAATAAATATTTAAAAATTACACAAAGCCATTATTTTTGCTTGACATATGCCTCATGCACGAAGAGGATTTGGCCACTAGATATGATCAAACAGCTTGCCCAGAAGTAAAATCTGATTTCTGAGAGAACTCACAATATGCAAAGGCCCACAGGGCCTTCTGAGAAAACTGTTTTTCAGATATTGAAGTACTGAAATTAGAACTACACACATGAACACTGTTAACATGGCATTGTTCATAATTTGACCAATATGATCTCATTGCTTCTTTGTAGTTCTATATAAGCATGTTTGAATAAACTTCGTTTTCATCTTAGATTTAAAGTTTTTCTAACAAGGAAGAGCATCTGATTTTACAGTGCCTAGCACAATGGGAACATACAATAATTCATCAAATCAGCCACATGAAAAAATTGGTCTGAGAAAAAATTTCCACAACCTTTATCTAAAGAAAAAAAAAAAAAAACCAACCAAAAACCCACACCTTCACGACTGTGCAATGCAACTTTAAAAATCATGTCCAAAAATTGGTTCTACAAGCAGGGTATTTGCAAAGTCTCAGAAACCACTTTTAGCATCTTTACTGGATTATGACCAAGAGTGAGGCTCTACAGAGGCAGTTCTTAAAGAAAACACTTTTGGCTCTTATTAATGTTAAAAGTACAAAACCAGTTCCCTTTAATAACATTAACCTAAGTAATTTTGGTTTAAAGCTGCCAAGTGTGCACAGTACTTTCTGCCAGGACCTGCAGAAGAGATATCTAGATTCTTGGCACATCTATAATTAGTCACACACATTCTAACCTTACAATGGACCAAAATTCAGCTGTAGCTTAAGACAATAATGATTAAAAATAGACATTCTAAGGACTACTTACTGCAGATATTAAATTTCAATCCCTTTTTTAAGCATACCAAAGTATCTTATAAATTGCACCACATTAGTCAGACATCAGAAAGTACCTTGCTAATACATAAATATTAATTTGTGAATGTGTTTGTCTGAAAGTTTGCTGTGCAGGAGACATGCACTACTTTTGAAGGAGTTGCATATTCCAATTTGTGGGAATAAGTAAAAGAACTCATTTCATTTAGTTGCTAAATTAACAGTAAACAGTACGGATAGTATGGAAATCCCTCTCCAAAAAATGCTTCCTGTATTTTTTTGATTTCCATATATACAAATATATATATAAATCTAAATAAACATATAGCTTTTTTCTTTAAAAAAAGACAATAGGCTTACACTTTTTTTAATGCACACTGTGTAGCTATTCAACTGTCAGTGAAATGCAAAGGACCACTGCTTCTAGAAACGTAATGAAAATGACAATCAGATACGCTCCTCCTCAGAAATACTGGCAGCAACAACAGAGGCTCTTCACAAAGGAGTCAACTGTTTTAACTTTCTTCTCTTCTTCATTAATTTCATCTAAGCAGAGTACATATGGAAAGTGTATTCTACTAACTTCAATTATGAAAGTCGACCTGCCTCTTTGAAAGGTTCTTAATTTATTTGCTGATACTCTATTAAGAATTTCATCTGCAAATTCACCTGTAGCTTTCTAAAAGGGGAAAACATGGAAGTTGTTGAAAAAAGCAGGAAAAGACATAAGCAGACAAGTTCTTAGGTTCACATTCCATTTACCACAAAATGTATAAACGGATACAAAAGCCTTTTGAACAGCTATCTTAACAATTTTGTGCATTCTATTAGGAGCTTAACATAGGCACAGTCTTAGATGAAAAAGGAAGTCTTCATGCCTACCATTCACAAGGCTGCAGTGACCGAAAAGCTTGGAGAGAGGCGTCCATTCCAGCAAAATCCCAAAATTTAACATCATAGTCATATCCACCAGTTATCAAACGGGCACCTGAAGGATCCAACGCCAAAGCAGAAACCTATACAGAAGAAAAAAAAAAAAAATTATAAATTAAAGATTATTCAAGCTTTTTACTTTTTTCCCCCTATAGTTCTTCATCAAAATATAAAATACTAATACAGTAAAAAATGATGACATATGTCATCAAAATATAAAATACTAATGCAGTAAAAAAAAATTCAGTGTGCTAGCTTCTTCTTAACATATGTCAGCCATACTTTGTTTTTGAATTTTCACTACCTTGTATAATGTCTGATTACTTTGGAAGTGGTAGGGAAAGCAGATATGGAAATGAAATAATCTGAATAAACCACTGAAGACAGATGAGAAAAGTTAGTTTAGTGTTTACTTTCTAATCACCTCATTGCAGAATTTGGATACTTTTCACTTCTATGAAGAAAACCGTACTCTAAACGTTCTCAAAAATACAAACACTACTTCTAGCAAGATACTGAAATGGCATTTAACATCCATCAGTTTTAAGATTTTGCGCTACTTTATTCAAGACAGTTCATCTGCATACAAATGTTGTTTGGTTAAATTTCTCTTCTGAAAAAAAAAGAGAAGAAAAAATACAGAATAAACTTGATTTAAAACAAAAATAAAAACAAAATTTAAAAAGATACTATGTTAACTGAAGAAGTTCAGAGAAACTTATCAAAACCCATTTGTTTTCAATACAAAACTAGCTCCTTAAAGTCATCCACAACTTTGAGGAACGAAGGCTTAATGCTCATTACTCTCAATTGTTATCCTGAAATCAAAGGATGATTAAAATGGGATTTTTAGAGAATTAAAATAGAATTTTCAATATATGAAGAACTTTATTATTGTAGTGTTCAAATCACCACACGGAAAAGTGAGAGTAACAGAAAGCATCTAATTGATTAAACATCCTTTCGTTTACTTTCAAAATGTTTTCTTCTCTTTTCTCATTTGTGAAATTACCTACTACTATGATTTCAAGTATTAATATAAGATTAGCTAGACAATGTGCCAAATTAATTTGTAAATCAAGTAGAGATATTAATTCTTCAAAATTAAGTCATCTACATGACAGAAGAGAAGGCTCCGGGGTGATCTTATCACAGCCTTCCAGTACTTCAAGGGGGCCTACAGGAAAGCTGGAGAGGGACTTTTTACAAGGGCATGTAGTGATGACAAGGGCAGACAAGACAAGGGGCAATGGCTTTAAACTGAAAGACAGGAGATTTAGACTAGATATAAGGAAGAAATTTTTCGCTCAGAGGGTGGTGAGGCACTGGAACAAGTTGCCCAGAGAAGCTGTGGATGCCCCATCCCTGGAAGTGTTCAAGGCCAGGTTGGATGAGGCTTTGAGCAGCCTGGTGTAGTGGAGGGTTTCCCTGCCCATGGCAGGGGGGTTGGAGATAGATCTTCTTTGAGGTCCCTTCCAACCCTAACCATTCTATGATACGATTCTATGAAAAAAAAAACACATATACACCATAAAATAAGGAAAAGCTTTAATTTCTGAAAAATAACATCTGAGAATAGTCTCATGGCTATAGGCTATCGATGCTGAACTTGTTCAGGGTGGGGTAGGGGGGAGAATGTGGGAAATCAGGCTAATTACTTTCAGATGCCTATATCTGTATTGAAACTTCCATGTACTGATGTACAAAAATTACAATAATTTGCATATAAGGATGATCGTCTGTATGTTTCTTTAAATGCGTACATGAAAAATACCGACAGTCATTACGATTTAAAGCAGACACATAGAAGTACCACAAAAAAACCCTTGTCTCAAATATATATCAGCCTACCAGTGTACTTTTTTTTTAAAGCTTTAGTATATACACTGTGTTATGGAGACTTTTAAAATATATAAACTGTTGAATAGTTCCCACACAAAACACTGTTTAAAAAATGGGATTTAGCATGAGATATTCCCTTTTCCACGCCCAGTTGAAAAAATACCCTACAAAAACACCAATTATGAATGGAATTTATTCTTTAAGATAGACAATTTGTTTTCCTGAAATTAAGGTCTCCTTATATGAAAGAGTATGGGTTTCTTCTGAGTTTTCTTTGTCCAGTTTCATGTAGAAAAAGTTCACTTAGGTGTTTGGGTAAATTTAGATTACATATTAGGAAGAAATTATTCACTATGAGGGTGGTGAAGCACTGGAACAGGTTGTCCAGAGAAGCTGTAGATGCCCTATCCCTGGAAGGGGGGCTGGAACTAGATGATCTTTCAGGTCCCTTCCAACCCTAACCATTCTATGATTAGATGATTCTTTATTTTATCAAAGACTCATTTCTAGTCATCTCCTCCTTCCGGCTCATGCTGCTCCTCATGCTGGTACCTCACTATATTTCAAACACACAGTCCTTTCAAGAAAACTAAGATGTTGCAGAACTGATAGTGCTGTTCACCAGGCAACTGACTCCTCCTTAGTCTAAAATTAGAGGCATTCACTTACAGAAATCTTACCTTTTAGATAAGGTCTAAAACCTCATTCTTCTAAAGAATGCAAAGGATCATCACATGTTCTAATCCAGTGTTCCCAAAAAAATCTAATTTACAGAGTTACAACTATATTCAACACTTTTCTTTTTACCTCCCTGAATCAAATGTTTAAATGTACTGCTTTGTGCTATCCCTAAGAATGAATTAAACTCCACTTAGTAATTAAGTCGCTGTGACATACTTGATTTTCAAATGAAAAAAATGTAACCTCTTTTGTGTTTCTAAAAAAAATGCCCCTTTTACTATTTAATGGAAATTGTGAACCCCGTTCATTTCATTCATGATTTCTAACATGCAGGAAAACTGGACATCTCCAGATTATCATGCATTCAATTAATAGACTCAAGTGTTCTATTCTACAATAACTACAATAGGAAGGAGCAGCTGTTATATGAGATGTTAGAAAGCACACTGTTCAGAATATTTCTGATTATGTATTCTCTCATACCCACCTATGTATCAAAAGTGCCAGCAGGAAAAATTAAAAAAAAAAAAAAAAAAAAAATCTCTGAAGTTTCATTGGGAACCGTAACTCTTACTACACTGAACAAGCAAGGCAACCAGGAAATTTATCAGGTTTCTGCAAAGACTCTCCAGCTTGGGAAATCTTTTCTGAGACTTTTCAGCTGCACAGGAATGCAGCCATCATCAAACCCACGTTCATAAGATTGAAGAGGTACAGATGGGATATGTAAGTTTAGGTGAAGTACAGTACATTGTATGAACATAATGAGAAGACTGCTTTTTAAATGTTGGGGTGAAGACTGATATCAAGATACGAAGTTGCCCCCATCCTTATATGTGTGTAATGACACAAGTGGTTTCATTATTCTAAAACAAATAAATAAATCAAGAAGATAGCCCTTCCACAGAAGAGCTGCTTTTTTCAATGATAATGTTTCAGTCACTGCATCCAGTCTAATCCGACTGTGCTATATATACCCACATTACAATTCACCTCTCCTCTAGGCGATGACAGCTGCATTCTCATGCAGTCAAAATACCTCAGAAGCCTTCCAAAACTGTAACTTCTACTTTACAAAGCATTTTAGCTAGAAATAACACAAGCTTATGCTCTAAGAAGCCATTGTCATTTATAACACACTTTTTACTTTTCTCTCTTCCCTCTATGCTTGTATGTCTAGCAGTACAATGAAACAAATGAGTAAGACTTATCACTTCTCCACAGTCCAAGACAGACCACAAAGTTCAATGCCAGACTAATGAATACACTTCTGAAAATAACTATTTCAGAAAGCTTACAAAAATCATTTATGATCTACACTGTTAAGTTTAAACGCCAAGAAAATTCCTTTAAAATGTCTGATATTAAATTATGGATAATTAAAACAATTATGCATTTACATTTTAATGTTCATATTTTGTATATTAATTTAATAAGTCTATTGTTTAAAACAATTATTTAATATTGTTGAATGTTAAATTAAGTGTGTCATTATATTAATTACATAAACATAACATTAATCCATGAGTTTTCTTTAAAATCCAATAAACAAAAATTATAGATTTCCTTAGACTGTTTAAAAAGTATTTTATCTCAAATAATTTTTTCTATTATTTTTCTTTCCTTTCTTTTTTCCCACTCTCTCTGAAGGCATTCTCAGGAATAAAGAGTGAGAATTCTATTAACTAATTGACAGCACTTCCACGGGGAAATATTAACAATAACGGAAATTCTAACAATAACGGAAATTCTAGTATTATTTTCTCATTGCAGCCTAAGTCATGGCCCAAACTGAAAACGACAGCATCTTTTTTAATGACCGAAGAAGAATATGGATAAAGGATTTAGGAATAGGGCTATTCATGGCCAGAACACAAATTCCATTTTATAGAAATAGATCCTTGATCAATCAGCACATAAAAGCAGTTGAATTTGTATTGTAAAATGAGATTACACAGAGATAAAATATTGACAACAAAGAAATGATAGTTCCAAGACAGACAGTGGTTCTTCAAAAGAATGGGAAGGAGCAATATGGGAGGTGAAACCTAGAAAAGATGTAAACGCGGAGCAGAAAAAGGTTTCAAGAAATTGAGAATGGTGTATAAAAGGCACTTAAAAGATTCAAGAAGAATGAAAGAGAACTGCATTCAGCTACAAAGAAGCCTTGGAAACTTCAGCAATAACATTCTCTTTGAAATACATGAACAGTTGAAGAAAATTTCAGATTAGACCTATGGCTTGTTTAGGAAGATCTAGCCTAGAAGCGAAACTCTAACAATTGCAGAGTATATTTGACAAAAAGAAAGAAGAAAATGAGATTACAATGGAGTCAAATGGAGTCACATTTGGGTTATTACAAGAAAGTGAAAAGGTAGTCCTAAAACACACTTTCAATTGCAAAAATAAAAGAGCTAGAGTGAAATAACATATTAAGAAAAAGAATTAGCCTCTTGAACTTTAGCTATGACAGTAGGTATTTGTTAGTTTATTTCATAGACATGTTCAGTTCTAGAAAAACAAGAAGTGTTGAAAATGTGTTATCACTTACTGTTTTTGTCCCATGTTGGAGTGTAATTTCATGAGAATCTGGAATTTTCTTGACAGGATTCTGGAAAAAAAAGAAAATCCACCTGTGAGAAAAGCGCTACGGCAAAAAAAAATCCAAACAACTAAACAAAAAAAGTAATCCTGCAATACATATAAAAGTAAGAAAAGTTACCCTTACACCAGAGACTGCTTCCAGATTTTTATTTTCACGGCTATATCCCTAAAATTATGAGTAACAGTTGTTAAAAAAATGAGACTACCTTAATAAAAGACAAAAACAGCAAAAGATTTCCTGTTTTTCCTCGTGACAGAACTTTAAAATTATCTCTGGTTCTCAATCACCAATATCAAACTATCTTGAACTGTGATTTAGTCAATCCATCATTATTATACAATTTCTTTTCAAACAAAAGGACTCTATGAATTTAACAAATTAATGAAAAAAAACTAGAAATTCATTACAGGAGCTAAGTTACCTATGTCGTTTATTAAGATCATGGACTGGCTTCCCACTTCCCTTTGTGCCATTATCCCCAGCTCTCATGGGTCTCCACCATGGCAGCCATAACATAGTCAATGTAATTCAGGGAATTTCATTTAACGGCAATATACAGATCAAAGTCAATTACAGTTTAAAACATCTAACATCACACAAACATCCGTAACACAAATATGAAAATAGTTAATTTACACAGAAAGAAATGTACTGAAAGTACTCAACCGACTGCAAGGTTCTACAAAGGTCATTTGAATCATTATCTCAAAATGCTCATTTGTCTGGTACCACTTAAGTTTCCTAAAATGGACACAATCTATCATTTTGATGCCCGATATCTTTGTTATAATTTTCTGTTGCTGACGTCTGATTTTAAAATAATTTTAAAGCACTTTTATACTATACATATCTCTTTCCTTATTCGTCTCTGCCAATTTCTTCCCTTTTTTCCATGCTTCCCACAGAAAGTCTCTATAGCATCATCAACCTGATTGCCTTTATACTCGTTTTATCATGCAGTGCAGTTCCATCAGCTTTATTTCTCTGATAAAACTGAAACTTTCATTACCTTTGGTTTAGCCAAAACTACTCTTCTTCTAACTTTACTTCTTGCCACTAACAACAACTTCGATTCCCAAAATAACTGTGTAATTTCTTTCCCTTTTCACACACATGTATACAGAGATAAGCCAGCAGAAGACTCATGCCCTCTGTTTTCACGTTCCCGGCATATGTGCAACTTCAACAGTTACAAGGGTTCGAAGGGGAACTTGAGTATTAGCCTGGAAATCATATATGCATCTGAGCAAAATTAATGAGACTGGTCTTTGCTAAGCCTGGAAAGGTATCAGTAAAGGTTTACAAACAGCTACACATGATGTTGTGAAAGGTATAGCCCACATGGCATTAAGAGACACCTTGACAGACTCAGTGGTTTACAAGTTGAGAAGCAAGTTAACTCAAAATTCCAAAGTGAAGCTGTGATTATGAAAATGAGTTTATTGTTCAATTGACACTATAAAGCACTCAGACAAAGGTATAATTATAATACAAATTAAGTTTTCTGTGTCCCACGATTCCCTGCAATATAAATTGGTATTTGCTGTTCTCAGGATGAAAAAACAACTCAATAGCCACTGCCTGTATTTGCCATCTAAGCACATTCCACGAAAAGGGAAGTGTGAAAAAGAAACAAACAGCTTCCAAGATTCATACAGTCATCATCCACAAAAAAAGATGCACTACTTCTGTGAATCAAAGGCTTTCACAGAAACCATCCATTGCTGGAAGAAGAAACAGCATTTTGGTCATTCTCGTCTTAATCCCTGCAAGGTTGCTTCTTCTGTATTCCAGTCCACTTATGAGAATACTCTAAGGCTGCTCATTTCATATTCCTCAACACAAAGGTAAGTATTGTATGTCCACATTGCATCAGCACTGAATTTAATTTTGAGACGGTATCTTAGCTACTTTAAGAGTTCTTTCAACAATTCAAACAAAAAAAAAATTAGATTATTAATAAACAAAATGTGCTAGAACGAACTTACTTAAATTTAATTGCTAGCTTCTCCATGTGGCAACCATTAAATCTCTCTGTTAATGAGAAGAGTGAACCTCACATAAAAACATTTTTGCTTTACAGTCCACTCATGTTGAACACTGTCCTGGCTACTTATCTTTAACGGAGAGCAACAGATAGGAATACATTCTGCCACCTGATAAATCAAACAGCATGAGCCTGAAAGTCAGACATTTGGCGAGCTATGCTCTGCAGTGTCCAAGGGATGCCTGACAGTCAAAGTAACTGTTTAGACTATTCAAAACAAAAAATTAAGATAACAGCACCCAGGAACGTATCCTGGCATAATATCTTCTAATGAAATCAGTCAAACATTTACAAAAAACCAAGGTGGCTTATTCTATTTTAGTAACCATTAACTTGATAAATGACTGAGAACGCTATAAATATCTCTAACGTGCTACAACAAATGCCTATATGCGCATATAAAAATCAGATGTAACTACCACTTTTCCAATTACTGCATTCCAAAGAGTAAGGAATGCCATAAAATCCTTTTTCACACTCTCAAAGGAAAATATAGTTAATACATTTTATGCCGGTTTGAACATCAGGATCCTATACTGGGATATTACTGTTAGTCTGAAAAAAAAACAAACAGGTATAGTTTGCCCAAAGTGTACCTGCACTTCCACATCTTCCAGTTGTTGCTTGGCATTCAGGTGTTAAGTTTACACAGATTGATTTCAGTATTTCAGTAATGCTGTTTCTGGAAAATTTGTACTGTAATTAAAACTAGACAAAATTAAATCTTTACAGGAGTTTTTTTGTTAGTTTTCTCTTTTTTTTAAAATCGTATCAGGAAAAGACTGTATGATAAATTTTTCTTTCAGCAGAAAAAAAGGCCAACAGTTTTGGTGTTGACATATCTCCTAATATTTTTACAAAAATTCTCAATTCCCTGCCTTACATAAGATAAATATATCTTAAATCTGTGAAATAGTGTATTCTAGGACTTCTCAGGTTTTTCTCAAAAACGAAAAGTCTTACCTTCTAAATCAAACGGACACTGCAAGTCAGGCATCACATTTCCAGTTTGCAGCTACATTTTTTCAGAGAATTCCATCTTAGCTGACTGTTAAGCTCCTGTGCCTGACAACACTCTTCTATTCCCTGTGCCGTTGTCCCTAAATACTGTGGAATTTTTTTTTTCTTGTTCCTTTTGGGAGCTTCCTTATCCTCAAGCAATACTCAGAAAATATGCCACTAGAAACCACAGGCTGAAACTAGGTCAGAGTCTCCAAGATCTCTTGAGAAAAATCGACAAAACCAAAAAAATAAAATAAACTAATGATGTAAGTCAAACTGGACAAGTGAGAGACTACACACAAAAACGAAAAAAATTAGTTAAAATCTAGATTCTACTCCTACAAGATATCCTTCAGTATCCTCAGGATTGTGAACATGGGCAATAATAATCATTGCAACTTGGCAGAAGACAGGGATACAGGAAGTTTGAAAAGAATAGGCTGGTATCTTTATGATAAACTAAACACTGGGCTCGGGGAGAAAGTTAGGTCCTACCGAAGTAACAAAAAATCCACTAAACAGCAAGAGGAATTTACAATTGAAAAATACCTCGGCTTTTACCATCTGTTAGCCTTTCTAACTGATTGACCATCCAAAAGCTATTTTGGAATGACTTTAGAATGACCATTAGATTATGTTCACAGGCTTAAATGGATAAAAGCAAAGACTATGAAGAACAAAGTGTAAATTCCACAATGATATATTCTGCTGATCTTACACAGTAACTGTAAACTGCAGTTCATGAAAAGTAAACCCATCCACTAGAATCCAATCCTTCCCCCCTAAAAACACACCTACAAGTGAGAATACAGGTCCTCAAATGACCCACCTTTTCATGGCCCAGTCAGAGAAGGGCAGAATGATGCATTTATTTACCTCTACTGCTCTGTTTGCAGAGGTCTGTATTTCACTAAATGGGAACAATCCAGCGTGAAAGAGATTTGCAAGCTAAAAGCAACCTTTCACACACCAGGCTCTTACACGGGAATTTTTCTGGGCACCTCCAAAACTATGGTTTAACAGAGGAAACAACGCTTTTTTTTTTCCCCTCTTGTGTTTGCAATTGTCCTTAGATTCCAGTATAGAGGATCTTGCCTCCTTTGAGGATTTAAACATTACATGTTGCCCTGGAAGAAAACATGACTTTCCCTTTCTGAATAGCTCCTGTGTTCTTAAAGGTCTCCCGAAATGCCGACTTGATGGAAACTTGAAGAAATTTCTCATTTGTGGGAGCTGTACTATGGTTCGGCGTGGAGAAAAAATTCTCCCTTCATCAGCTAAAATACAATTATTTATTTATTTATTATACAATTATTTATTTATTCATCAGCTAAAATACAACTCAAATGCTTCTCTTTTCAGTGGAAAGAAGTCCATCAGACTTCATAGGGGACCACTTGCACAATCTCCCTCTATTGCAGGTAAGTTCAGAGCCACAAACATGAAGTTTTTCCTTTCCACCTCACATCCAGCTTTGATCTATACTACATCTGTGTAAGTGAACGAAATCAAGAGACTATTCTAGTGATGATGAACAGAGAGAATATAATCTGGCTCCATTCTTCAATATTGAGTCTGAAACCCCATTAGAAGAACGATAAAACAGTGTGGAGAGGAGTATTTCACAGATCAGGAAGAAAACATGTCTCACTCCTCTTTTCAGACTAGAAAAATGTTTTAAGCTGAATTAGGCACTGAATTTTCTGTGACAGCAGGGAAAGCTGAAGACAGTAATAAGAGTTAAAATTGATTTTTTTTTCCTGTTCTTTTTCAAAATTGTTTTGCAAACACACACACACACACTGATGTTTATGTTTTGTTCCACAAATTACTCCTTGTGCACTGTTTAAACCCATATTACTTGTAAAATGGGCAGGTCTTCCAAGTCAAAATTTTTCATTATTTTTCTCCATAACTTAAACTGAAAATAAATGTCTAAAACATACACTAAGGTTGCACAAGCGTACACTGAAGAGAAAGTTGCAGTATGAAAAACCACAAAGTGAGAGATGGGCAAGATGCTGGTTTACAACAGAAAAACAGATACGTATTTGGGCTTACAGGAGCGCATTATACACAAAAACTTGCACGCAGAACAAAGCATCCAGATTTGAAA